CACACACACACACACACACACACACACACACACACACACACACACACACACACACACACACACACACACACACACTGACCTGTCTTGGTCGGCACTGCGGAAGCGGGGGAGGATCATGTGGCGGAAGCTGCTGGTTCGGTCCAGTTTGGGCTGACTCTTGGCCCTCTTGATCGAGCCCTTCAACCTTCTACTGAGGAAACTCTGGAGCGATGGAGGAGGAGGAAGAGGAGGAGGAGGAGGAGGAGGAGGAGAGCAAGGGCAAACAGATGGAGAAGTCGAGGGAGGACGTGCATGACGTGCATGGTCGAGATGTGAAGAGACGACGGAGGAGTCGAGAGATGTGTTTGAAGTGAAATGATCGACAGATGATGCCCGGGAAGTCAGTGTGGTTCGAGTCGGGTGTAATGAGGTGACACAGAAATCAGATGAACACACACACACACACATGAAACACATGATGCATGATGGGGGAGAACACAAGGTAGATTTATTATCAACGAGGAATCAAACACCCACACGTCCACAGAGAACTGCAGTGTCCTGACCGAGCCTGCGGTGGGCAGCGGTGTGCCGCACAGTCCAGAGCAGCAGTGGGAGGCTCACACTGAAACAGGAAGTGCATCCCCGAAGATGAGGAACATGACACTGTCCACCTCTCGCATCAATGTACGAGGTTCTTGTGCTTATTTCAAACACGGGCGTCTACACGGACCAAACACGTCACATGAACTGTGAGAGACTGATCAGAAAACTTTTCAACTATCACAGAATTTCAAATCGAAATCTAAGAAATCATGTTTCACTTCCTTTTAAAAACTATATTTTACCGTGTGTCCTTGTAAACATGACACTTTTGATTATAATGTGTCTCGTACAAAATATCCTTGGAATAAGAAAGTTAATCATCTTTAAATCACTTTAAGTCTTATTATGACAAACATTTGCTGCTTCGCTTCACTTTTACCTGATAGCAAATAATGTTTTTCTTTACGACTCATGAAAAACAAAAATCACGATTTTATAGACCCATCAATATATCTGCTAATTAATGAATTATTATAGTTGTTAGGTGCAGAGATATTTCACACCTGAGATCCTTCCCGAAAGAAAGTTGTTGTCGTCGTCCCTCTAACAGCTTTTTAACACAATAAGACTCTAACGTTAATAAATCAAAACCGTCACATTTCAAAGCTGCTCTCACACTAAACCAATAACAGCTGTGAAAATAACTTCAAATGTCTCTAACATGCATGAGAAATCATTTGATGTTCTTTCTCTCTTATCTCACCCTGCCTTCAAGAGGCTGCGCTCATTCAGCGTTCAGGTGGCTCCTGGAGACTCGCTGTAATGTCGTTTACGCACCTATGGCATGACAGAATTATTCAGCGGCAGAATGGCTGGAGGGAAATGACACCTCGTCATCTGGAATGAGTCAAATGGCTTTGAAGCCTGTCTTGAGGATATGACTAAAGACTTGGCTCCATCTGCTGGTTTGAGCTAATAGCCTGCGTGACTAAATCTGATTTGATTTGCCGCTACGTCTGACACTTAAAAGTCTTGAAAGGAAAAAGTATTGAGTACAGTGAGAGAGAGGAATTAAAAAAAAAAAAAAAAGCCTGAATCACAAAGAAAAAGCGAAGTAACGGAGAGAAAAGGAAGGAGACAGTGACTTCATCTCCCCGTGGCTGTGTTTAAACCAAACGCACAGAATCGCTGAGCTGGAGTCGTCTGTGGCTTCACGACAGCTTGAAGCAGACGACCGGTGTGGTTTCGTGTTTCGGCTCATTTACAGCTGTCCACATTTAGCAGATGCATGTTACTAGATAATGTTTTGAAACATTATTCTAAAACACTTATCGTCAAAGTTAAAATAAATCGCTGTCTGGGTTCACAGAGCTCAAACTGATCAACACCAGTGGTGGACTGAAAGTAAACCAAGCAACTTCTACTCCCAGTACTTTTATCTAATACTTCATACTCTTTATTTATTTCACTGCGTTCAGATACTACAACTATTTACCAATAATGCACCTGTGAAAAAACTCCAGTGATACAATACAGATCTGGAAGAATAAGGAACAAACTATTTATAGACAAACTAATCAATAATACAGTTTACACACTCTGTTTATTAGTCAAACACTCACAGGAGTATTTTGGTGCATTATGGGAACTCTTAACTAACTCTTTAATCATTTTGCTAATAATAAGCTACTTACTTACTTTTGCTTGAGTGACATTTTCTATATAGAAATTCTACTTGTGCTTGAATATGAACGATTATTCCACTGATGCATCTGCATATTCAAAACAACTAACTTGTGACTTATTTATTTAATTTTAACTTAATGTAACAGCGTTTTTTAAAATCCCACCGCACTAAAACAGCATCAACGCACAACGTGACCTGAAAAGTACAAGTGAGATGTTCCCATGTTTCCAAACTGCGCTGTCTTGAACCTGGTGAGGTGTTGGCACCTGTAACCACAGACTAGTAACATGCATGATGTAAATCTAGTCAGTGTCTCTGCTTCAGCGATGTTTGGGTCACGTACCTCAAAAGGGGGTAGTGGTGGAATGAACGTTCCTCCCGCCACTGGACTCGAACCGGCAGCCCTCCAGTCTCCGCCCCAGTATGAGAAGGGGTGGGAGGAGGAGGAGGCGGCGGGCGAGTGGGGCAGGGTGAAGGACAGGGAGGGGGAGAGGGGCAGCGAGCGGGGCAAGGGGGGCGTGCTTGGCCCTTTCTTCGAGCCCTTTTGCAGCTGCTGCCGGTGCGGCTGCTGAAACAAGGCGAAGGAAGGGGAGACAGCCAGGGAGAGGGGGAAAGGGTGAGGCGGGGTGCCGCTGGCCCGGCGGCCACAGGTGTGTGGCGGGCCCAGGGCGGGAGGAGGGAGGAGGGAGAGCGAGAGGGACGGAGGCAGCGAGCGAGGCCGGGAACAGGGGGGGTTACTCACGGATTGTCGGAAGGGTTGAAGGGGGGCAGTGGGAGAGACGTCCATGCTGGGCTGCTTCCCTGTAGCTATGCTCTTCCGCCGGGGACGATGATCTAAGAGAGAGAGAGAGAGAGAGCGGGGAAGAGAGGGAGAGGACGAGTGAGACACTATTACACAGAAGAGGAAGAGAGGCTTGAAAGGTAAAACGAGGACAGGACCAAACACTGCAACCGTTTACACAGGTAGAGCAAGAGGACGTGGAGAGAGAAAGACGGGGCAGGGGGGGAGTTGTTATTGACAGTCTGGAGGAATGAAAGAGAGGAGCGAAGGAATGCAAGAGCCTGATAGAGGTCAGAGGTGAACGAGGCAGAAATAAAACAATGCAATGTCACACCCATCCACCGGCGCTGCTGCAGCCGCCGCTGCAACACGAGACACTCAAACACACCTTCGTCCCAGGAGGGAGGGGGTGGACAAAATGGGCGAGAGACTATTGAAGAGATGGATTTTCTGTCTGGATGTCAGATGAGGCGAATGTTAATAGTGTGCATGTTGAGAGTTGGAGGAACTGAGAGATGCACGGGTAGAGAGGAGAGAGCATTAAACAAACAAAGTACTTATTGACTTCCGACAGCGAGTCGGTGCCTAACGCCCTGAATTGGCCGGTGAGAGAATAAAATCCTGTCTCGTCGTTGATGGACGACGAAGAGAGAGTGAACGTACAGTCGGAGAGGAAAAAGAAACCACAAACGGTTTCGGAGTTCAAGTTCAAAATCTCCGTGAACGTCTATAAATCAGCAAACGACTTGGCCCCAGAAACCACGAATCTGCTGCTTGTACAACGTAGAAACTCTGAGACTGAGTTGTGACGATGAGGCCTTTTGTTCGGACTTCTTAAATTTCAGACCTGATGATGGCGCCGGATTAAAACTTGAGAAATCGCCAAACACACAGAAAACACGGACGCGGTGCTAATCCGTGAGATGATCGCTGAGATGTCTAACGTGGAGATGTCAACCTCATGAAAGATGATCACATGGTTGTCGGTCAGTCTAGACAATAGACTGTATTACACACTTAGACCTGCATTCTGCTGAATGACCAGCAGAGGGCGACATTACAAGTCTGTAACACGTTCATTTTGTAAATTAAAGTTCCATTGGGGCGTGGACACCATGTGATTAACAACAAGCACCGTCCAATGGGTGCCGGTTGCAGGTGTTGGGTGGGCGTGCACGTTCCTTGAGCTTCCAATCAGGCTCCTCCCCTTCCTCTTGCAAATATACTTATGGTTTCAAAAAAAAAACCAAGATGCTAAATACGAGGCCTGAAAACGTCAGCTTGAAATCCAGAGGGTGATGTCGCAGCGGGTTGACACCAGGTGGCGGAACAACAGACGGACTGACGTCGTCATCCTTGGAGCCTCGTCCCCAGCATGTTTAAATAAAGAGCAATAAACGTGGTTTTAACCTGGACTGCATCAGCCACCGGGAAAGTGTGCAGTTATGAAAAAATGCTCCATTTTCCCACCAGATAAGGACAATAATAACGTAACAACGCCGAGGTGACCACCTAAGTAGACGCCCTGCTTAGATAATCATTTTTATTGTCTCCAAACAACAGCGGGACGATATCAAAGCAGACATTACGTCTCTGCATGTTCTTTTTGTTCTGTTTCCTCTCAAAGAAAAGCCGTCAACATGAACCCAGACACAAAGTCTACCTCACATTTATCTGTTTGCTTCCATTTCGTATTTATCTTTCAGATATTTCCCTGAGTCTGGCTTTGACGTTTCGTGTTGATTATCCATCCCTGCTCTCTCCTCTGCTCCCTCTGCCTCGCTCGGCCCCTTCCATCACACAGTCGCACTAATATTCAGACACACACCCAGACACACACACCTCCTGTCACCCACGCAGCTATTTTACATAATTCAGTGCATTTATCCCTCTGCCTCTCTTCAGCCGCTGAACCTCGGTCCTCTCTCTCTGTCTTTAATTTTCTTTCCCCTCCTTGCACCCTACTTGTTTTCAAAAACCTCCATCCCCTCCCTATACCGACTTTTATCTGTGTTCCTCTTTCACCCACATCGGCCCTCCTCTCCCGCTCTCTTTCATTTACCTTTCTAAATTGCGATTCCCTTTCTCTGCGAGCCAGCCCACTTTTCCCGCTGCCGTCCCTCACATCTTTTCACACAGAGAAGGTGCTTGTCACCCGCCTGAGACATCAAACTGCCGCCTTCACCCACATTCACCGCTTTAAAACGCATGAAACTCTGCAGCCCGGATGAGCGATTGGTGGACGAGTCTTATAAATCAAATCTCAGCAAGTAGCGGTCTTACATGAAGAGATGTTAAGATCTGTGTGACAGATGATCGTAATCAAACGTGAAGTAATTTAAATTTGTTTAAGCTCGACTCATGAACTGAAGGAGATCGTGTGGCGGCTCTACCCGATTCACTGCGGTTATCAGGGGTGATGCCCTGTACAGCGGAAGATCATTTTTTAAAGATAAAGGCATCAGCACAAGTGATATCAACATCCATTTTAATTATTTACTCATCGTTAGAGGAGCAGAAAAGTTGATTTCAGATTCAAATGGCATCAGTTTTATGTTTAAAGAAAACAACCCTTTAGCTTGGGACGTGAGATTTAGTGTGAGATAGAAAAAACAAAGTGCTGGCGTCGTGTTCTGAACCTTAGGGTGATTAAAATAAACAACACTTGATCTTGTTGTTGGCAATTAGAATTTGTAAGATTTAGAGAGAGCACATGTTTTATTACAGCCTCCAATGGAGGGATTCATTGAGGGGGGGGGGTCTGAGTCAGCCAAGGCTTTATCTGATTTAGGTCGTCACAGCTGCTGTTGTTTTCACCAAGTGCAATAAGTGTAATTATAAAAAAAAACACCCTGATATAACTCATGCGACTAACCACGATGGACCCCTCCCATGAATGGCAATGATTTTAACAGTCGATCAAGAAGCCCCCCCCCCCCACACATGTTCAACATGTTCTTCCAGCTGTGTCAGCCTCGTCATTATCCCCAGAGCGATGCAGTGTAACAGGAGCTTTAACAAACCTACTTCAGTCTGGTCTCAAAATCCCTTTCAACAAACTTCAAAACCGACTCTAACGAGGACATAGATTGAGGGTAGAAATGGAGGGCAGCGTGACACAAGGCAGCACGACTTGGTTCTTTTCTTTGCTCTGACTCTCTCACTAAAGATGGCGAATGCCTTTTCGGCACCCGCACAGTAAGACGCTAATGCGCGATAGGATTAGTGAACTATGACCAGGGTGCGTGTTGTTCCCCTCCACCGAAGAGGTTACCTGTCCATCAGCGTTTGTTCTTCTCTCGCTGGGTCCTATCATCTATTGGAAAAGCAGCTCGTCCCCGAAGGACAATGAATCCTGGGATAATTTGGCCCCGAGAAGGATCCAAGTGTTGGATCCTTCGCTCAGGGAATTGAATGGACACATTTGGTGCACAGCTTCTGAAGCTTTTGAAGAAGATCCACATAAATTAGTAGATGCAGGATTTATTTTCTGACTTTAAACCTCTAGATTTGTTGTGTCTCGTAAAGTTCACGTGTCAGCTGTAATGTGTCATGACATATCTACATTTTGTAAAAATACTTGCACCATTTTCTATGTTTGTATATTTCTTTTAATACTATTTTATTTTATAATATTTGTTTGCCGGGAGACTGAAAAACAAAGTAAGAATTTCATTACATAGTGCAAACTGTGTTTATCTGCTGTGTACATGACAATAAACAGCTTGAATCTTG